TTTTTTTTTTTTTTTTTTTTGTCAAAGTTGAATCAAAAAGGTAAAAAAATTTTTAAAAAGGTAATACTTTTTTCTTTTTTTTGCTGCCATATACAGAAAAGGTGGAAAACTTTATAGGTTTTCAGGGGTTTTTTTTGCTAAGAAAAAGAATACCTCTCAGTAATGTTGATTGCTAATATTGGTGCAAATTGTTTTTTTTTTTTTTTAGTAGTTCACATTCACAGTTGGATGTTAATTTTTTTTGGGGTTAAATACAAATTTAAAATACTCACTGATAAATGTAATATCAAAAAAAAAAATAAATAGATGTTCATTTTTGAATTTTTGACTTTGGTGTTTTTTTGCTCTGTTATTGTTTAGTAATTTTTTTTTTTTTTTGGATATTAGTTTACCAATTATTTGATAAATGTTTTATGTGATTTTGGCCGGAAAAAAAAAAAAAAAGAAAAACAAATTATAACAGGTGAAATTTTTAATTGATACTTTAACTATATAATTAGTGGTTAAGAAAACAGTTTTTTTTTTTGCTATTTTGTTTAGTGGTTACAAACTTTTTGTTTTTTCTTCTATTAGCAGTAGTTGAGATTTCAATCAAACGATTAGGTATAGTTTATTTTTTCTGTTCAATGTTATCGTTTGTTGTTGTTGCTGTTTTTTTTGTTTTTTGTTTCAAAAATTACTAAACTAAATATGTGGTACAATCTAAGTGTGTATGTATGTTGGATAGTGCTAAGTAAGAAGATGAAGAAGAAGATTACTGTTTGTTGGCATCTTACTGTTAAGTTTTCTTTAGATTTTTCACATCTTTAATCTACAAAACTTTTGATATTCATTATTTATTTTTGCTATTCTAAAAATAAGTCTCTTTTTTTGTCTTTTTAATATTCAGTCGTTTTATTTTAGCTTAAAATTAGCTTTGATAAGTTCCGAAAAAAATCTGTTGTAAAAAAAAACTTCTTTCAAATTTTATGCTACTGCTGTGGCCGTTAGGAACAAACAGTAAAGTGTGGAAAGTGACAAATGTATCAGTGTTTTTTGCATATATATATATATTTACAATAAGCAGTTGTTTTTTTTTTTGGTTTTAAGAATCAGAAAAATTGGTAAGGAGAGATGAAGAGCTAAAAAAAAAAATATTTCCGTTATATCAATCATTGGGATAAATAAAGTAATCAGCAAATGCCGGGTTTTTTTTTTGAATGAATGAATGAATGAATGTTACAATTTGGATTATTCATTTGCAAAACAAATAAAATGATTATTTCTTTTCATTTATATATTTATTTATTTCTTATTTTTTTATTCTGCTTATTATTTTTTTTTGTTGGACTAACTGACATATGTTCAATAGTTAATGCGGTAAAAAAAAAAGTTTTTATAATTTTTAATTTACTGCAAAAAAAAATTTATTTGATTAATTCTTTGCTTTGTTTTTCTTTCTTTTTTTTTTTTTATCAACAACAAAATTTTGTTTACCATTCTGTATAAATTTAAATTCAATACTTTTTTCTGAACAATGCATCAAAAAAAAAAAAAAAAAACATTTCCATTTTAATACCACTTTTGCTGTATCAATTTAATTAAAATAAAAATTGAGTTTTATTTTATTTAATTTTTTTTTTTTTTCTATAATTTAATAGTTATTATGCAAAAAGAAAAAGAAAGTCTGACATCTCCTATTCATTAAAAAAAAAAAAACCGTTTGGTATCGTGCAAAGAAATGAAGCTTTTTTTTTGGTCAGCATAATTCTTCAAACGTGGACTAAATGAAAGTAATGAATTTGTTGTTAATATATCAACATCAGTATTCAGATCCAAATAACACTTAGTTGGTGATATCATTCATTTTAGACAATCAATTTAGCAACCATTTTTTTTCCTATGTTTTTTTTTTTCCGTCAATTTTTTTTGTTTTGTTTTATCAAAGTATACAGTCCCAATATCTTACCGATAATTTTTACACAGATTTTTACCAGCCGATTCAGCAAACAGAATTTGATCAAAGACGCTTAGGTCAATTTGACCAACTTTAATCACCAGTGGACTTCAACAATTCAATTCGTTGACGAAGGCACTTCAGGTACATAATTATGAGCCCAACACTACCGGAGACTCCATCGCCATCAATAATAACAGCGTAACTATTTGTTCCGTTTCCTTTGTCTTCTTTTATTTTATTTATTTATTTTTTTTTGGATGGAGGAAGGGGAGGAAAGAAGGGGGAGCATTGTTTCAGAAAAAAAACTAATTTATGCCTAAGATGAGTATCTTACAAGCGCCATATAATTAGGTTTCAAAAACTGCTATCGCAAATCAAAACTTCATTTCTTCTTATCATGATCTGAAAAGTTTTAGTGAGACTTTATAACGATAAGACGATATCTGTTTATTCTCGATAAGCCTTTAGAGAAAAAGAAAAGGAAAAAAAAACCCCAGAGAAGTAAGCCACCGGGTCAGAACTGTTGTAGCATATAAGATTAAAGTCAATACTGTTGTAGAATATAAGAAGAAACACCGACACAGTACAGGAACTAATCTTCCATGTAGAAGATTCAATATTAAAATCCAATTTATTATAAGCAGTTACCGCAGGAATATACTATAGAAAAATTAAAGTGAAAAATTGATGACAATAAACTTTCAGATTTGAGAGGAAGTATTTCATATGCATTAACAGTATTTATTTTGTAGCAACGCTGCTGAATAAACTATGTTCCCGACTGTAAGAAAAAAAAAAATTTTTTTTTTTTTTTGTCTGTTGTCAGTCAACAATTTTTTTAAATTTAAGTGTACAAACGGCACAAATGTTAATATGCATTTATGTTAAAAATGCTTAATCAAAAATCAGCTTAGTTAACCATTGATATATTGGTTCAAAAAATGCTTCTAAATCAAATGTACATTCAAGAAAAAAAAAAAAAAAACCCTTTCTCTTTTTGCACCTTCTGGTTTAAAGCAAACATTTGAAGAAGAACGGCAATGCAAAACAAAAC